TGTCAACGTTTTTTTTTTTTAAACAATAGACGATGATTAAATACGATTGCCAAATTTGACACTTGTACGTTATATTTTAATTTTAAAATAAAATACAGTGCCTCGATAAAATAAATGCACATGCATAAATGACAAAAGTTTTATTACTTTAATTTTAATTTCCAATATAAATGCACATATATATATATATGTATATTTTTTTCGTGAATTACATCATGTCGATCCTTTGGCACACGTCATCAGTGATGTTTTCAGGCGAGTATCAAAAGGAGTTTCCGGTTTTCCACGTCATACCTACTCCCCCATGGTGACCTAGCCGATACTGATCGGATATCGACTTGTGTGTCATCCATCAGCTAAAACTGTACTCATAATGCGCACAGCACACTAAGATCCGTCTTAAGCACAACTAAGACTCGTTTGGTATTTTATAGTCCTATGATAAACAAATCTCGGTTCACCAACTTCTGCTCCATTCTATAATATATATATATATATGGACAATGAGCTCAACACCCAGCCGCGACAGTCTGTTTATGTGTTGTGTGTGGCACGACCATTATATATATATATATATATATATATATATATATATATATATATATATCACTAATAACCTCTAGAATAATTCGAAACATAACCTGTTACCTACCACACAATAACCGTTAAAAATATATAACTGACCTACCCATAATGCATAACTTAGCCAGCATATATATATAAATAGTTGAGTTAAAACACAATGCACATGGCCCGACGATTGCGTTTAAGCATGAAACAGACTGTTTTGGGTGTTTTTATCATATATATATATATATATATATATATATATATATATATGATAAAAATATAGTTATAGGTGTATTATATTTATGAGTTAGGTCAGTTATATATTTTTAACGGTTATTATATGGTAGGTAACGGTTATGTTTCTGAATTATTCTAGAGGTTATTGGGTGATATATATATATATATATATATATATATATATATATATATATATATATATATATATAAATGGTGTGCCACACACAACACACAAAACAGACTGTCGCGGCTGGGTGTTGAGCTCATTGTCCATATATATATATATATATATATATATATAATAACACACACGCACATATATATATGTGTGATACATTATATATAATAATAATAATAATAAAAAGGCTTAAACACTAATATTCCCTGGTCATATATATATATATATATATATATATATATATATATATATATATATAAAATAATGGTCATATATATATATAAAGTAGACATAAAATAATGGTCATATATATATATATATATATATATATATATATATAAGTAGACATTGAAGTCAACATCTAGAGGCGACAGCCTGTTTCATGCTTGAACGCAATCGTCAAGCCTTATATTGCATTCAAGCATGAAACAGACTGTCGCCTCTGGGTGTTAATTCCAATGTCCACTTTTATATTATATTTACATACGCTCTATCTCGGATATTGAGGACTTTAACCTATAAATGTAGCATATCTTAAATATTCTATCATATATATATATATATATATATATATATATATATATATATATATATATATATATATATGCACACACACACAGACATAGATGGATGAAATGTTGTCCAAAAGATAATTAAATTTAGACAGAGCAAGAAAATTGATTCTGCTATGGATTTTTCCCTTCCACCAATGAATGTAATCTAAAAAAAACTGCTGGAGATTACTCAAAAGAATATAGCTGAAACTATCAGACGATAAACGATTTTTCGTTCTCTCTCTTTCTCAGTCCTCTCTCTATATCTAACAGTACGTTCAATTTTGGATAAGGAAAGAAATACGTTGAACGAACAAGTAGGCTATGTTTTATATTTATACTTCATAGTTCGGTCGATGTCAGACAATTGTTATAATAATCTTTAATGATAATTTAATAAGCATCCATATTTTCTTAAGTATTTTTATTTTCATTCTTCTGTAACTTTCATATCTGGATGAAATCTGTCATTTTAATGCGTATTAGACAGAAGACAGAAAATTCAACGAACTCTGGGAAGTGTTTTAATGCGAAATACTGATGCGCGAAGGTGCATTGGGATAGTGAAATAAGCCTTCCAGAAGTTAAGCAATGTATTAAAGAACAGGAAAATTTCGTTAGGAACGAAGAAAAGAATACTGAAATGGTATGTAATATCAGTCCCTCTATATGGCGGTAAATGCTGCACAATCTCCTCGCAGTTGAAGAAGAGACTTGAAACAACAGAAATATAATTACTTACACTATTTACAATATTCATGCCGTTATCCTTATATTTTTTGCCATATTCACAACGTTTCGGCCGTTGTACACTGGCCTTCTTCAGGTGGTTGGAATTTCGAACCGAAACTTTTATTTCGTCTACCGGGGTAGATTGTGCTAGTTTCACGTGTCATGCCTCTTCCGTATATCTCAGTATCAATTATTTCCCTTTAACTCAACTCTCCAACCCGGGGAACTCTCTTTTGTTTCCTTGATTAACTACAATGTATAACAATGTAAATGCAACGTTCATTTTTTTGTCCTTTCCTTCCTATTCCCAGTTTTCTCTTTCACTTTAATCCTGTAATCCCCTGTGTATTAGTGAGATTACCGCCTTGCTTGGGGGTAAAATGATTAAAGAAAGAAGCAGGCACAATATATTTTACTTGAGAAAAATCGACTGGGTAGAGATTCAGAGGAAAAATAGATATATAATAACACCAATGAATGTCAAACTCAAGGCTATTGTCAAAGACAACCAAATATGATATTATGGCTACTTTTATATTTTCAACTGGACAGCGCACAAATTTTATTATCTTCTTTTTCATATGCCGTGCCCACTCAGGACGTAGGCGGTCATGGCTCACGACAATTTCCTATCCTTTGTAGCTCTTTATAAATTTTGTCTTTATGCCATTTCTCCCAAACTCAGTTCCAGCGTTGTCCAGCAATCACTGCCATACAAGAGGATAGATATCACGTAACAGTTCAGTACTCTTTTCTTTGTTTCTAACGGAGTTTTCCTGTTTCCTGATACTTTGCTGAACTTTTTGAAAGCATACTTTGGCGATCTCAATATGCCTTCGGATTTCAGCATCGCATTTTCAGTCCTTTGTTAAAACACTTCTCAGATATTTAATTTTATTTTACTTGTTTAATTCTGTTCTCTTCAATTTGGAATTTGCATTTGGGGCTAACAGAAACCTGAGATACAGATGTGAAAATGACGCCAGAAAAATGGCGGGAATTGTTTGGTGATTCTTATGAATCTGATTTTGAGGAATTTTGACTTTAAAAATGTTTAAAATTAGAGCAGTTTTTCCCACGGGATAAAATTAGGAAGATTTCTCTCTTAATTCTTAATGAAGGACAATATTTTTTTTTTCGTAGTTTATGAATATATAGAAATATAATAGAGTCATATCAAACAGAAAAGTATAATATATTAATTAAAACCTTAAAATGTTTTACTGGGTATGTCCAGTTAGCACCTTTCCCCCAAAATTCGAGAATAAGTTTTGAAACGGAAATTAGGAAAAGAAATGCGCAGTAGATAAACAGCTAGTTCATTTCTATTTAATTTCATGAAAAATTAAACATTTCAGTGAAATATATGTACGGCATTGAGATTTTAATGAATAATATACTAAAACATTTCAAAAAAGATTTACATAGTAATGGCTGAACTACGGGGTCGTATTATACACAAGGAATTAATAATTTATTCCCTGTTTTTAGCTTCAGATAAACGGGATCATATTATACCCTAGTTCAGGGGTCGGCAACTCATTCGACCCCGCGGGCCGGATCGTGTTATAATGACGGGTCGCGGGCCGGACGAAGGCCATTAATGAAAAATTAAGGAAAATTACATATGCAGACCCCTGTCAACCTAAATATTTAAAACCATAATGAAAATAAACATTGAGAAATCAGAAAAACAAAAGAAAATCTAAAATTAAAAAACACCTAACAAAAATTACTTTTCCTCAGGGAACGTCAAAATACTTCAAAGTGAAAAATATCAACCGAAGTGAAATTATGACGTGTAGATTTGAAACTGTTATTGAAAATTGTTCCACAAACGAACCACACACACACACACACACACACACACACACACACACACACACACACACACACACACACACACATCAAACAAAAACGAAGCACATCTACCCATACATACGAGTACAATTAGTTGCAAACATTATACACTTATGTACGTACACATGCGGTATCATCCACACATTCATGAGGCATGTATGTATAATGCGCGTATGTTTAACTGTCTTTAGATTTCAGTCCTTCCCTGGCCTATTTCACTTTATCGTTCCTTTCGCTTCTGTTATCTTTTAATGTAGCCAAGGGTCATAACAAATATGTATCTATTATTTGACATTAAACGTAGGCAAAGCAACTTGATAAAATAAGTCTCATGAAAGATAACTGGCAGATAGTCTAATATTTTTAGTGCACTGAGATGTGTAGAAAATGACATATAACAAATTCCATTTGAAGGTCGTCTCTCATGTTAAAAATAGAGTCATTGGTAATCAGGCTCGCGGGCCGGTCAAAATGCCTTCGCGCGCCGGATCCGTAGGTTGCCGACCCTTGCCCTAGTTGGTGTTATACGTACAAAAATACGGTACATGAAGAATTTTAAACTGGAATTGCAAAACAGGATAAAAGAGTAATTTTTCTGGTTCATGTATTTTGTTGTAAATAGGTATTAATTGTTTAATGATCTTTAGATTAATTGGCTTGTGTTTTACGGCTTTGTAGGTTATTTAAAGCCAAAAAATATTTTTAGATTGTAATAATTTGTGGGAGATAATAATGCCTAAACTGATACAAGTCCTAACTAATTAACATATTTGCTCGTACGATTAACATAAAGAATGGTTGTAATTGGAACACGACTCTCTGATTTCCAATTCCATGCCGTTATACATTAAATCCCACACACATCCGAGCTTACAGCACTTGGTATTCCCAAGCGGTCACCCATCTAGATATTGACCAGGTTCGACGTTGCTTAAAATCGGTGATCTTTCGCGAACTGGTGTTTCAAGGTGATATGGTCGTTAGCCTGATAAACTTCAAAGCAAACATTACTGAAGCAATAACAAAAAAAAGCATCCTTGATAAATTATTTGAATTAATCCAATTACTTTCCCATCAGTTACCCAAATAGGACTTATAATATGGCTAAATAGAAATAGGTAAAAGAAAATAAAAATTGTTACAAATACATTTTAGTCTTTCTATAATAAAATTTTATAATCTCAATAAATCTTAAATGTTCTATCTTGTTCTATGTAAAAAATTCATGAATATCATAGTGTCGATCCTTAAAACATTGATCGCCAGCCCCCAGTTTTTTAAATCATTAATTGTACCGATAGAAATGTTATGATTGCTAGGATGAAATATTGTCTTAGTATTTTAACGGTGATAAATTTTAAGAATTCACTAAATACGCATAAAGTCATATACTGCATATAACATAATTATTTTTCAAATAGGTTTTTATAGTGATTTTCTAAGCGTAGCTTACACGTGGCACAAAGCTGAAAGTATAGAAAACCCAGTGAGGATCGAACTCACTATTCAGTCGTAATTAGTCTAGCGAGATAAGGTTGCTAACCATTACATCAAATCGAATGCCAAAAATAGGTTTTTATGATATCTGTTTCCTTTAATCATGTAGAGTGGGACACATGGAAATAACACGGTTTTTGGCTAATTCTTATTACTGAAACATTTCGGTCTGGCATATTTTATATTACTAGACCATTTCACCGAAGCAGACGTTAAACACACAAGGGCGTTATCGCATCTTCTATCTCTCTTTCTTTCTAGATGCACATATTTATATAGTAATGGCTGTGATACGAGGACGTATTCTGCTCAAGGATGTAATTTATTCCCTCTAATCGTATTATACACAAGGGAATACAGTACATGAAGAATTAATCTGGAATAAATAAACAGGATAAAATAATCATTTTTTTCTGGGTCATATCTTTTGGGGTAAATAGTTACTAATTGTTTAATGATCTTTAAAGTAAAAAATACTGAAAGAACAAAAAAAGCATCCTTGATAAATTATTTGAATTAATCCAATTATTTTTCCATCAGTTATCCAAATAGGACTTATAATATGGCTAAATAAAAAAGATAAAATAAAATAAAAATTGCCGCAAATACATTTTAGTCTTTCTATAATAAGCTGTTATAATCTTAAATCTTAAACTCTAAACAATCCTTCCCAAAATTAATTCTGGTAAAAAGAAATCCAAATATAAAAGTAAACCATTTTAAAATGGCTGCTTTGGTATGATGAATTTTACAAGAAAACAAAGAATTATTTTCAACGGGCAATTTTCTTTGCTCTGTGTAAAAAATTCATGAGCATCATAGTGTAGGAAGTTAAACCATTGATCGCCAGCGCCCCCCCTTCTAAAATCACTAGCTATACTAATAGAAGTGTTATGATTGATAGGATGACAAATTTACATTTTAATGGTGATAAACTGTAAGCATTCACTAAATAAGCATAACTTCATATACTGCATATCACATTATAATTATTTTTCAAATAGGATTTTATGATATCTGTTTCCTTTATCATGTAGAAGGGGACCATGAAAATTTAATGGTTTTCCTATTTTAAATTTCTGATGAATCATAATAGTTATTTTGAATTGTCTAACGAAAAATATCTAACTCGGCATAGTGAACAAACTTTCTTAGCAAAAGATTATTTAGAAACCGCGATAACTTTCCTTCTAACCTGGCAAACGATTGTAGTAAGTTTAAAGGCCTTGATGTAATGATTAAAAATGCGGCTACCCCGACAGGTAGAATTAATATTACCCGATCGTACGAGGCTGATTTTACCAGACAGCTTGAAAGTAATTGGGAGTCCTCGAAAATGCGGGGTCCGTAGCATTAACTACTTTTACCACTAGGTGAACAAGAAATTGTTCTAGAGTTATTTGATATATCGATTGAATAATAAAATCAATTAAACTTATGATGACACACGAAAGTCACTCGTGTAGCATACTATCGTGTCGGGTACAAAAACCAGAGCTATGCTAGTACATATGTTATTTCTTCTGCATGAAGAAAATCTACCATGATTAGACGTTCGAAATACCAGTGGAAGAGCGTTTGAAGCTAATAGCTAATTGCAGAAAGTAACTTGTGGGTAAAACAGTAACCGGGACTTGGCACCGAAATCCAAAGTTTTCTAAAAACTAAAGAAAGAAAACAGCTGAACTGCTATGACAATATCAATCCTTCTATATGACAATGAATGCTAGACAATTTCCTCATAGATGTAGAGGACACTAGTAGCCACAGAGTTGTGGTTCTACAGAAGGATGCTGAGAATGTCAGGGACGGAGTATGTTATCAAAAGGCATACTCTAACATGCGAGCTACGAATTGGAAACGTTAGAATCAAGTCAGCACAGAAATTTAACTATCTTGGATGTGTTTTTAATTGATGATGGAAAATATGGCGCATAAATCCGAAGTCACGTTGGCATAGCGAAAGATGCCTTCCATAAGCTAAGCAAATAGAACATTAAAGACAGTTTTTGATGGATGAGAAGAAGAAGTCTTTATTGATGTGGTTATATGAGGCTGTGAAATAAACATAGCAGATATCCTTTTTGCAAGTGCCCTTTCCCTTTAGGACATCGACGATCATGGCTCTCGACAACTTCATATCCTTTGTAGATTTTAGTAAGTTTTTTCACCGCCTCGTCTATTCACAGTTATGTCATCCATTTACGCAAGCTTGTCACTTAGCTTACTCATCGTATCTCCCCGTCCCATTTTGTTTTCAATAGGTCTTGTGAGTGAAGACTCTATTAGAATAAAACTTACAGTTACATTTAGCAATTTCAATCGTAAAACGATGAGACCTGATTGTCAATATAGTAATCTGCTTAAATTCATACTTTGGATCGAGAATAACTTTGTTTCTATGGATGACCCTCTTGATAAAATGTTGTTTGTTAGAAATATCTTTCAACTGATTGAAACCTTGTAAACAGTTTTTGAATTAAGTGATCATTCTTAAAGTTAACACTGTTTCAAATGGAATTCTGAGATCAATATCAATCAACTACAAAAAGTATTGTTCAGTGTAGAAACCAAATCAACCTGTGAACACACAACAAATATTTGATATACTAGAGACTATGGAATTGCACCATGGTCTGTTGATAAGATTAAAAAATAAATATGTTGATTGGTAACAAATATATGAGTTAAAAAGAAGCGATTTTTTAAGCTAAAAATCTAAGTAAAAAAAAAATAAAAAAAATGAAAGTTTAAAAGATTTCAATCCATTTCATTATATTAAATCATTCTTGGGAAAGATATGAATCCATTTCTTCTCTCTCCAGCTATGGGCTAAATAGTAGGACTTATAGCTGGAAAAATCATTATCTCCAAAAGTAATTAATGCAAAATTCACAATTAAATATTTTTTATGATGAAGGACGTAGGGCACAGCGGCCGAAACGTCATAACAACAACAAAAATGAGGACAATTGTCAGAATGTAAATAGTGTAAATAATAGTAATATTCACACGTCAAAAAAGAATTATTCTTACAATTCAGCTTTAAATAACTCACAAAGGGTTGACAATACATAAAGAACAAATCAGCCAATCTTATTTCAAGAGTTAAGAGCAAAGGGAATAAGTTCAGTTGATACCATGCGAGGTGGTAAAACTCTGCTACTCATGGTATCAAAAGTTAAAGAAAAAAAAACACGACAGCGACTCGTACGACAGTTAAAATATCTTTCTCTTTTCAAGATGAAGTCTTTTGCCTTTTTTTATAGATCGAGACTGACTGCTGGAGGCGGATATTTGTTAGAGGACTTGTTATTGGTTGACAGATTTTAAATGATTATCTTTTTATTTTCTAATTGGAAGTTATGTTCGATCCGCATGCGCAGACACACATTTTTAGCTTACTTGTATTCGAGCCACGGAACCGTCAACTTCCGCTTTCGCGCCCTGTTTACTACAATACAGTTAGTTAACACAAAGGGAACAGTGACCATCTCATGTATATGGATGACATAATTATGTGCAAAGACTAAGAAAGAAATTGAAACATTGATTTAGTCGTAACATCTGAATGGAATTCGGGATAAACAAATGCGCTATTTTAGTAGTGCATAATTGGAAACAGAAAGCCGAATGGTTAGAACTTTCGCATTCTGGCCATGAGACCCGGGTTCAAATCTCACTATGGTAGATTTGTCAGGAAGGAAACTTCCAGTTGTTATCGGACTGGCGGAGTCGATCCCAGCGTACCTGAAAATCATACCACGTGTTGACTTAAGCGTTGTGAGCGAAATTAGGTAGACTGAACCTTTGGGGTCCGTCGATAGCTGTGCTAGCACGAAGTCACAAGTCATCGTGGCCGAAGGCTTGAGCGTGCTGGCCTCGTTCAAATCGTTGATCACGCTAGATAACACGCTCTTTCCCAGAAAACTGTAACTAAGGTCTTGCAGTATAAACCACATGTGGGCTCTGTGGTTGTTGAATAAACACAAATGCGCCTGAGCAAGCGTCTGCAATAGGGATTGGCTAGCCTCCCTAGTAGATAGGTATCCTCGAATACGAATGGCCAGCTATACTATATATAATTGGAAACAACAAGTCAAATTGTCATACCGGGTAACAAGACAATAAATGTATTAACATCACGGTAGCGCATACATTTTTATGTAACAAACTCACAAAGCATGTAACTTGTTTAGTATTTTGTTAAATTACCTCTCCACAAAAAATTGTTCGGACAAATACAGCCCAAACTTTACGAGGGGCTTTATCTATGTATTTTTTTTTTTTGTCAGTGAAAAGTGTCATGATGCCATTTCTAACCTTAGGTCTCTGGGCAGGACCCGTAAAGAAATGTGAAAACGCCAGAAATCAAAGAAAATAATAATAATAATAATAATTAACATGGCAGTTCCTACAGATTCTAATGTATCTCTGAAGATCTTTAAAAGCCTATCAAAATCCAAGGATCTTGTAGTGGAAATC